TGTAAATGTAATTCCTTTTTACCAACTTTTAGAACTATAAAATTTTAAAAGTTGGTCGAAAGAGGTCTGGCTGCCGCCGACGGAGGAAAGGGTGTATTTCAAAATAAAGTTCATATTCGAAAAGCGCATAAAATTCTCTTTCTAGTCCATGTCTTTTTGTTTTCCGAAAAGTTTGCAAAGGCGAAATATCGAGGGCTTCGGGAAAACATCTCTGAAAAATCAAAATTTAATGCTAAAAATCTGCGATTTGCGGAGATTGATAGATAATTCAAGTTTGCATCGAGCTGTTAAATCAGAAAAATTGTTTAGTTGACGGAAGTGGCTGAATTTTAAGACAAATTGGGAAAAATATTTTTCGAAAAAAATTTTTCAAACTTTTCAAAAGGTTTCACTCAAAACTTGTCGATAGCTACAGTGATTTGAAAATTTGTGGAATTCACGTTCATAATTGCTTCTTCTATAGCTGTTGGCGGTTGTGGAAGAGGGTACGTTTCTGAAAATTCCTTTTTAATTGATGAAGATTGCGTGGAAGCGGTTGTGCTCATTTGTGTTGTTGTTGTGATTGTTGTCGTTGGTAGTTCGACGAAAGGACTTGAAACGTCGTCAATTGAACTCGATTGCTGTGTGCAGCTATTTCTTCATGAAATAAGAATGTCATATCTTCTATTCCTTCTAATAGATCTTCACGACGTTTGAGAAATAACAGTTGCTGTTTTAATTTTGGTATAAGACTTTCAACTTTTTTAGCAGAATCCAACAACAATAGAGTTGGTCCATCGATATATTGTTCTAAATAAAAAATAAAAAAATTTTTAGTTAATTAATGAGGATGAGACACACTCAACCAAGCTTCCCGAGTAGGTGCGGATTCCTTCCTCCTTAAATGGAACGCTTTCTGTGAAAATCTGAATAAATTTTCTACTAAACTTAGTAAACTTCAACTTAACTGTAGCAAAAGAACGTCATTAGCGAGTTTTCTAGAAAAAAAGTGACTAATGGCAAATTTTGTTGTGTTAAATGGCAAATTTTGCAAACATTTCTAGCAGAAAGTTAAAATAAAAAATTCTACCATTTTCTGCGAAAAAATCTTCCCCCATCACAGCCAAAAACAAAAAGAAGCACTGCACTCAACCATGAAACTATTTTCATTTGAAAACATTTACGTGCACCGTTTTCGACTTTTATGATCAATAAATTACACATTTAACGGTCAAAAAAATCTTAGCATCGTTGCTATAATTTTAGAGTCATTTTACCTTCTGATAACTAGTGGCGGCGCCAGGATTTTGCTCTGGGGTGGGCTTAGCCCACCCATTTTGGGAACAGCAGAAAAAACATTAAGCTCATTTCGAATACATTGAAAAATTTTCAGGGTGGGCTTAACTTCCTTTCGGGTGGGCTCAGCCCACCCTAGCCCACCCCTGGCGCAGCCACTACTGATAACTTTGCTACCAATTTCTGTCTTAGGATAGGGGAAACCTAAAGATTAATATGAAAACTTCACCTTAAAAATTCGTCATATGACTTGTTAAACTAACGTAAGCTCGACCATCTATATCATAGATATCCATCGGTTTGTGAAAATATTTCAAATTATCAGGCTTAACTATCTCTCTAAGTTATTTCCAGATTCAACTTCATATGCACAAAATAATAATTATAACACACGGTTTCCAGTTTATCCACGACTAAGCACCAAACATCTAGTAATTTCACAATATAAACAACTTGAAGAAACAGTGGAGTTTCCTCGACATGTTGTACAGTATAAACATAAACTGCTGCAGGACGATAATAAACATTAGAATGTACTAATAACTAAGTATGACAAATTTTATCGTATTGTGTTGTATTTGCATATTGTCGAGTTAGTGCTCTAATATCATGAGCTAAGTCATTAAAATTTAATATCTTCACTGAGGACACAGACTCATTCATTGCTAGACGATTTTGTTGAGTTAATGTGGAGCAAGTTCTCAACTGATCTCGAACTATTAAAGTTTTTGAGATGTTTTTGCAGTTATTTGATCTCTGTGCAGTTTTTTCTAATGATTGATGTCATCCTTCATAACGCATACATATAGAACGTATTGCTGGTCCATTAGCCTTAGTGCTGTTTGAATATTCTGTGCAAAAATGAGTTTTCGGTTTGAGTTTTTCTGCAAGAAGTTCTGTCATGAGACACTGGAATTCAATTTCTAAGATTCGAAGATATGGTAACCAACTCTTACGAAACGGATAAGCCATTACAAATTCTAAGATTTGACGCAGACTCCTAAAATATCAATAAAAAGTGTTTGATTTTCGACGTCTCTTCTGATTTTTAAGCATATTTGTTGCGCTTAATCATGCAGACAAAAAGACGTAAAATACCGAATGGAATACGTCAAAAAACAGAAGCCATCAGAGAAAGTAATGAATAACTTGCTGATAGATACGAAAAGTCTCTAAATTCTGAATGATATCGTAAAATATAATAGGAAACAAACTACAAAAAACAAATTAAAACATCAAAAAAGCTATTGAGTTAGAGTTGTAGGAGGAAAAAGAAGTGAAGTGTAAAATGTCACCCAAACAGAATTAACTTGTGATGAGCAGATCCAACAATTTTATCATTGTTTAAATGCTTTATTAGGACAGATGGTGGCTTGTTCAAAGAGCCTATGTCGCCGTACTTAAATGTTTGAAATTGTTCTTTGATTTTATTGTACGTTAATAATTTTTTACGAGAAATTTCTTTTAAAATAGCCAAAAGAATGAGTGGACAAGTCCCTTCTAGAAAGTCGTGCATCAAGTCTCCGGGTAAACTATTGACTGCATTAAATCCATCAGGTGTCTCTAGAACACTAGGACCATTTACACCATATGTGAATGATTTAAGATGAAGCTCGTGATTCGTTGGAGTTCTTTTCAGATAAGAAATATCACTAAGTGGAATGGCACGATTATTATAATGAATTAAGCATCGACAACAAAAGTAATTTGAGTTAAAATTTGTTTGAAAATTGACAATCTCATTAGCACCAAGGTTATCTGTACACAGAATTGTGAAACTAAATGAAATTCTCACATCAAGCGATCGGATATAAATTCCACTAGATTGTAATCTGTTCAAATCTTCTATGAGAGGCTCATAAAACTTTCTGTACTTATCTAATGTATCCAGAAAATTTGTGTTTGTTATTGCAAGTAACATTATTGACGACAACTTGCTTCGATGATGATCACGAATGCCTTCCAAAAGACAGTAAATGATGGTTAGCTTATGTACGTCCTTCTTCGCACCTAATGGGTTTGTTACTTCAATTCCGTCGGTATATAACTGTAACACACTCTAAAAAGAAATCATATTCTCGGAACCGCTTAACGGGTTTCCGAAAATGAAACTATATGAAACGTTTATCCGTTTCCAAGGAAAGGGTTTCCGAGCGCTCCTAAACCCTTTTCTGCTCCGGAAACCCATTTTCTTCGCGTTCAACTTATTTCTCGGAAACCGCCCAAAAAAAGATTTTCGAGCTCTCGAAAATGCTTATCCGTTTCATATAGTTTCATTTTCGGAAACTGTCAAAGAAAGGTTTCCGAACGAATTTCATAAAAATACTTATCTATCTTACCTGTTTTATTCTGTAGTCTGTAGGGCTATTACTATTACATTTTTGCATCTAGTTTGATGAAAGGACAATAAACATTCATCATTATTATTCGCTCCAGGCGAGGCTTCCCATTAGCGATAAAACCGGAGATATACTAAGGTATTTCATGTCTTAATAAGCGTTGCTTCATTTCCTACTCAAGTTTTTGCAAGAGACAAATTGTCGATACTCTAACGATCACCTTTTGTGATGCGACTGAACTTTGCATCATAGATAAAAGAACTTAAAACAAAGGGTTCTGTCGGAAACGCACAGGGTTCCAAAACCGAAGTGTTTTCGAGAAAACTTTTCACGTACCGAAGAGGATATTCTCGCAAACTGAAAAGGATATATTCGGATACCCAGCAAGTTTCTAAAGGAAGTTTAGGTTCCAAAAGGGTTTCGGAGAATACTCTTTCGGCTTCGGAGGATACCTTTTCCGTTTTCGAACATTTTCGCCAAATATCTGTTAGGTTTCCGGCAGTTCGGATACCCTGTACCGTATTCTCAAATATCCTTTCGGTTTCCAAAGTCACCTGTAAAACCTCCAAGGGTTTCGTATTACAGTTCCAAAACCAAAAAGAGTTTCCGAACCACATTCAGTTCCTGAGAAAACGCTTTTTTTTTAGAGTGCAGTAGATTATTCTTATTCACATGTTGCCCGTTTTCGCTATCTCGAAATGAAAACGTTAGATCAACATCCAACGATGTTCTTTGGTTCTGATCATTTATATTTTGCACTATTGTTGTTAAAATTTCTTTCTCATTCAAAATCTGTTGTAAAAGTTCCTTCATCGGGACGTAGTAGACACATTGTTTCTTATTACGACTATGTTCGAGCACAACTTCTCTCGGTGGTATGTAACTAAAAAATTTCTTACATAAATTCTTGAATTGATGCTCCGATTTTATAGTACGATCAATCACATCAATTACTTGTGCAATTATTTTGTAGACAGAAGTAAGAGCAATTGTTTGTAGATCAGGTAGGGTGATGGTCTGAAGAGACGTTCAACAAAAGCGCAATCAAAAATTAAACAGATGCAAAATTTTTATTAGGAGACGCACAAAAATTTAAGTTTAGAAAAAGTGAATTGAACTAAGTGAACTGTGTGAAAAATTTTAGTGACTGCTAATCGCGCACCCTGTGATTTGCTGAAAACGTATTGCTTTGTAATTCACTTTTTCCAGTAACAAAACACCTTGCCCCATGTCTAAAGTATCACTGAAATTTTATGCGTAGCGACAAAATGAAAATGCACTATTGTACTTTAAAAATACTGAAAGATAAAATAAATTTTTCTTTCGCCAAAAAATGAGTAAGCCTTCAATTATAACCGCCATGAAAACTACAGCGTAAAACGTACCGCTTTCTGCCGTATCAAGGTTAAAACTGTATTTATTAACGAAATCATGTAGTTAGTACTCAGCTGAATTGGATTCTGTAGAATGACGTGTTCTTCTCTTACTTGAAGTAAAAAACGACAGCAGATTCTTTGTAAGTCATCAATACTTGTCGGCTCGTCGTTGTCAAAGGTCGGTTTTGGCAGCGGCTGTGGAATAATCACTAGGGGTATGTTAACGTCTTCACTAATCTGTGAACTAATTTCGTTTTCTAAGTCATTTAAGTCTAATGAATTAAGTAAAAGAGAATCATCTATTACATTAGTATTTCGATGATTAACACTGTCTGATTTGTTCTTTAAAAGATTTGAATGCTTCCGATATATATGTGATTTGTACGAGATGCAGTTAGTGTAAGATTTAGAGTTTGGGCCACAAATTTGACAAGCTAGAGAGAAGTTGGGCTCGGAGAAATGATATACAGTTAAATGTCGATGATAAGATCGAAAATCTACGAATTATTTCGTTGGAGCACAAAAATAACACGTAAAATCCATTCAATTGTTTTTAGGAAACTAATTAGCTGTGAACTAAAATACAAAACAGGAAAAAATCTTTGAAAGTGTGTTGGAGCGGAAATAAAACCACGCAACAGAGAAATGGTGACAGTCTAGAGGTGAGAAGCTCATGGATGTTTCCGCGGGCTTGAGTAATGTTCGAATAATACACACAAAATTTGAAACTGTGCGCTGTTTACTATCGCTGATGCACGTAAACACGCATTTACACTTCTTCGCTTATTTTTCTACAAGAAAATTAATTTCTATGATGTGCAAACGAAGTTACGATAAATAATTTTTGATTTGTTATTCTCTTTACTTATTTTATATAATTATTACTTTACTAATTTACATTTTATTATTTTTTCCAAGAATTTCGAAATCCGTAAAATCAAGTCAAGTCTTTTTCGCTATTTTTATGACAAACTGATTAATTTCGAAAAATACTTGACTGCTTTTCTTACATAGTGAAAATTTATTTCTAAGAATAAAAACTATAAAAAACGCAAAGAGAAAAAGCTTCATTTTTTTCTTGTATCTTTTCAAAGCGACATAGTTATAATAGTAAATAAAGTCGGATGCAAAAGGGCGTTGTTAGACGAAAAATGATTTGTGTTCTTTAGCGTTACGCTTGCAAAAACACAGAAGCAAAATCATAAGAAGAAACAATAACTGTGGTATAAAAAGAAGTCCAGATTTTTTTGCACTAAAGGAAGCAAACAACTGCCTTTTTGGAACGGTCTTTTCGTTCCTTTCTTTCGCAAGAAACCCATGAAAAACAAACAAACAAAATCCGTTTGTCTTTGCACTGTCACAAACAGGGACAAAATTTATTTTTTGTTGGTAGAAGTAGACCAAGATCACAGAAAAAAATCTAGCGCTTCTCACCTCTGCAAAAACAAAAACAAATGTGCTACATAAAGGATGATTCACAGCACAAAACCACGTGAAGATGCTTTCGGCCTTCCTCAATTTAAAGCAAGATTACGTCACACAGATTGAAAGACGTTTCTATTATCACATTTGAATGAAAAGTCGCAGAAATGCTTTCAGGATAATGCTGAAATTTACTCACCTTCAAATTTTTTAACAATATCATTTTCTAAAAATTGTGATATCCATTTAATAACATCAGTAGTAGATAATAACTGTAGATCCATATTTGAGTCTGTGTTATCTACAAGCACAGCAGAAAAAAATGAAATCCAAAACTAAGCAAACAAAAGAAGAGAAAAAACATCAATTATACGGAGCGTCCAGTATCGTTTTCGTCTGACTTCGCTCTGTAAAGATCAGAGGTTTCGAAAAGGATTTTGTGGTAAAGTGTACTTGTACAAGTTGTTTTTTCGAAGGCAGAGTGCAGTAACCTGAATACAAAGCAAAAACTATCAAAAATGAAAGCTACACGTTGTTTTTCAAAACAGATTGTATGGAGCCTTGGCTCTGCTGATACACCCTCATAATTAGAAACCTGATAGTGATGAGGAAGAGAAATGGGCTTCCTAATGAAATTCATCTCTATAATCAACCTAAAAAGAAAAGAAATCAATGTTTGTTTGCAAATCGGCCAAACAGAATATAATAACCTTTCTGTCGAGAAAAAAAACTACGAGTTGAGCAGCGTTTCTCAAGAGCCGAATGAGTAAGTAGCACTTGACGAACAAGTCTATTGACAACATTGACAGAAATATCATCAGAACGCCAGACCTTCGAACGGCGCTAGTTTATCGGCATGCACGAAACTAAGACACGTATCAGACTCCAAGTTCCTTTATATCTCTCAATATTGTTGAAAGATATCGCATTGGCTATTAAATACGTCTGGATCAGGTTTTCTCAACAACTGATTCATTGATGCACTTTAGAAGCTTATTTTAAGGTTCGTCAGAAAGCTGTTCCGAACCTTGAGAATAAAGTTCCGCTACATTACACGCAAAAATTTCTGTTTTCTTGAAAATTCACCGTGTCGCCCTAAGTCTGTTTTCTACACTTGCTGATCTCGTAAACTACAGATTCTTCGACGGATTAGAACATTCCTGCAGCTTGGGCGTAGGTTCAATACAAAATTTTCATTCATTGGCGATCTAGTGAATGGGAAAAAACCAAATTTCAGTAAATTCGTGAAGTCTTCTCGATTCAGAAATCTAAAGCGAATAAGAAACTCGTTCTTCGTCTCAAACTTTTATCCGTATGTGTGTCAACAAGCAACAAAGAATTGGCAAGATAATAAGTGAATCGCTCTATTTCAGAATCAGAATAAAAAACGATGACTCAGTTTCATTTTTAAAATGAAAAGAAAATAAGTATTCTAGATTTTCACTTCGTTTTTTAATTTTGGTGAAAAGCTTATCCCGTTCTTCATTCACTTTAAACAACCCTTTTGGTTGCTTACAAAAATGTATGGTTTTTCAACTGTAATAAAAAACGACAGTGGTTTTTTACAAATGATGAAAAACTAAGGTAGTTTTTTGGACATATCAAAAAATTCTTTTTATTCTAAGCTTTATTTTCAAAAAAAGTAAATGGTTTTTTACGAAAAATAAAAAACTATGTTGATTTTTTATTATCGATAAACAACTCGTGATAGCTTTTTAATAATCTTTCTTTTTAACCAAAAAACCCTCGGATAAAAAACCACCGGTTTATTACTGAACAAAAAACTAGTTTAGATTTTTTAGTTTCAATGAAACGGTTTTTTATCAAGTCTACAAAACGATTCCCAGTTTTTTAATCTACGACTTTTTTTTAGAGCGTAGTATATATGTAATGCTGGTTTTCTTCGAATAACTTAGAAATTATTCTCTTGAACGATTATACAAGTCATCGAAGCTTGCCTTTGCCTATGGATTAGTATTATTGATAGTATCGGGGTTTTGAGATTGGTACTAAGAACAGTTCCATGATTCAAAGGAATCAAAAAGTAACAAAATTAGAGAATCATATTTATAAGTTCAAAATCAAATATAATGAAATTCGACAAATGTCGTTCGAAAAAGTGGTCTGGAGAAGAGCACTTTCGAAAGCGATCTCTTGTGGCGCTGATCCTATTTGTAGCGGTCTTTATTTGGTTTACTTTTCAAGTGACCACTCGGGAAACGATTTGCAAGTGGTTTTCTTTAAAGCACTTCTCAAAGTGTTCTCCAATCAAACACGTCAAAAGCACGGCAAAACAATATCGCTACAAATAGGAGCAGCACAATCGGAGAGCACTTCCTTTTTTTACAGTGTATAGAAAACTGAGCGAAACATATCACCGGAAAAAAAATAAAGTTGGTTTAGAGTTGCTGAAAAGTGGTTTTTCATACTCAGCAAACTCGATAACCCAGAAGATTTTCTGTTTTTGGCCCGAGGTACTTCCGAAAGTTTAGGAAAAGTTTTCAAATTAATATTATTTTTCCATGGAAAACTTTTTGCGCCATTTTGTTTCAAAATTTTTCTTAAACTTTCGGAAGTACCCCGGGCCAAAAATAGAAAATCTTCTGGGTTATCGAGTGTGATGAATACGAAAAATCACTTTTCAGCAACTCTAAACCAACTTTATTTTTTTTGTTCCGGTGATATGACATGATTATTTTTCATTCATAAGTCTTTCGATATGATACATAGAGTTTCACTAGACTTCTTAGTTTCTGCGTGAAAACCAACATTATTACAAGATTCAGCATAGTCGCTAATCTGTACTCTATTTCTTTTGAAAGTTCCACGATTTCAAGTTTGAGAAATAAGGAGGTCTTCGTAGGATTTCTACCACACCCGAATCAGTCTCCTCTATCGAATACCGAAAATTGCAAGTGTCTATTGCTATTTATTCGGCTGTTATATAAAATATATCTGTGACCACTTTATTGTGAAATGGATAGTGGTTTCATAGGGTTTCTGTATTACTACCTATATGTTTATTGAAAGTTTAGTTGGAAATTCACCATGTCGAATGAAAACTGTCTCCTTCAAAGAGTACAATTGGAAACTAGTTGACTAGTCAAACTTTAGAAGGCTTATTGTGTTTATGGTGCCGGTCAATTTTGAAATGAATAATAGATGCAGCTCAACAGAAATAATTTGTTATTCTAAAAAGAACATCTTAAAAGCATCAGATCAGTTAAAAATTGATAATCCGGTGTCCTTATCCGGTTTTATATTTGCAAACTCATTTTTTCAATTTAGCTATGGTTTTCATACTGTTATTATTAGGTTTTCATACTGTTTATCATCGATAATAATAACATAATAAATAACACAGGTAAAAATCATTCAATATTTAATTTAATGTTCATGATTAACTGTGCATCGTTGCCTGATACAACTGTTTTTAAATAGTCTTTCGTTAAAATAACTTCTCGTCCAAATCGATAGTTGATATAATCATACGTATCATTGATAGTTTTTAAAAATTGTATAACTTCGCTCTGGGAAACAAATTTTGATGACTCCAACTGTTCTACATCTTCGTACATTTTTTGTATACCGTACGCTTCAGCTTCTTTCATCTGCCTATTATAGACCGCTTTTGAGCTAGCTGTTTTTTTTATGATTTTTTCATACTGTTTCAATACTGCATTTGGTACGCGTTCTTTTCGATAATTTTCTTCGTCATCTGTACCGTAATTTCTAACAAGATAGGTTTTAACTCTTCCATCTTTCATTTTTGCCGCACGTTTTCTTAATCGACATAAAATATATTCATGTGAATGTTTCATTAATTCTTTCAATTTTGTCCAACTTTTGAGACTTTTGCTGATATCAAATCCTGCATTTTCCGGCTTAATGAATATGTTCGATTTCATCTGATTAATTTTACCAAATAATATTGTCTTCTTATCGGCTGGTAGCTCTGGCATATCTAGACCGTAGTGAGCACGTTGTTGATGTAATAGCTTAGCTAATGCTGTGAAGTGTGATGATATACGTGCAGTACCAAATCGAATTAAATAAGCTAATAAAGAGTCAATATCAGAGTCTTTTTCTTCCTTGCTAACCACTGTAAATGTGCCTTCAACAAATGTCTGATCGCGGTTAACGGCTATTGCATAATAAAACCATATTAATGATATTATTGATTTTACACCGTGTAGTAACGTTATTCTATCATCTTTATTTATCAGAAGATAATTAAATAATGCTCCATAAAGTACATTATGAAATATATTTTGGACTTGTAAATTTGAAAATGGTTGCTTTAGTTCAGAATTTATTGTAAATAAAAATTCATGAAACGAATTTAGTATTTCCTTTAAGTCCAATGATAGTTTTTCTTTAACTAGATTCTTAATATCCACATTCTCAATCAGTTCAAATTGAAAAGACTTTGCTTTATCTAATCTACACGACTTTGAAAGTATACCATTAATATTATCATCACCATCATCATTTATCATTGTCACAACAGCATCTTCGTGTCCAGTATAACTGTGAAAAAATAGCAGAAAAGCAATACTAAGTGAAACAAATAGTTTATTCATCATATTAGTAATCGTCAAAATATGTCTTTTGTGTTGGAAAATATAAACAAAAGATTGACATGCGTTATCTATGTTCAAACTACATAGTGATGTTTTATATATATTGTCGCGACTACAGACATTGCAGCAGCATAATAGATTCAGACACTAATTAAATTAGTAGTCGTTTTGTAAATACTCCTAAATGTGTATACTACACATTTGAACGAGACATCTGTTATCGAAAACGTAGAAAGATAAAGCAAATAGTTTTACAATTTAATCATTGTCAATATTCAGTATAGTTATTAGACCGAATAATTTTTCTTTTTACACATATGTTCTTGTTTTGTAACCTTAATTTGAACAGGTTTAAAAACGAACAGCTAACAAGAACGCTACTTGACAAGTTTCATTTTGTGGGAGCTTTATAGAAGAAGGATGATTGAATTGTGGCGAAAGTAGCTAGCTATTAAGGCAGCATAGACTAAACAATCCATAACGCAATTTACTTTTCGTTTCCTAAGAATGGCTTCGCTCACAAAATATTTCAAGATTTTAACTTTCTTGAGCAAGAAAATAACTGTTTTGTATGTTTAAACTCGTATGAATCACGAGAAAAGCTTGCATAGAATTGATTGAAAATAACAAGATCTTGCTCATAAGAAAATCATCAGTTTCCACTGTGTCAAAAACTTCAGTTTTTTTTTCTTTTCTCAAGCATGAAAAATGTATTAGGTGTCGTCCGTTGCAGCTAGATCAAAGGAGAAAAAGCGTTTGGGGAATGGTAGAATGGGCTGGAATGGACCAGAATGGATCGGAGTGGACCACATTGATGCTGAGTGATAATTTCTATTTTTCTGTGGGTATTCTTAAGGTCCTTGCCCCTTGCTTCCTTCAAAGGGTATTTTTTGACAATTTTTTCGATTTTCCATTTCCGAGGGATCTATGTCAAGCAGGAAAAAGCCGCCACTCCGTGGAGTGTCGAAGTGCTCGGAGTGCCATGGGCTTAAGGAAATTTTATTGAACTGAAGTGTCCTAGAAATCTGTTCCCACAAGCAGAACAAAATGGTTCTATCTGTGGGAAAAGAATTCACAGAATAGACCACGATTGCTCCTTTATCGGGGAAATATTCCCAACAAAAGAACATGATCGTCCCGTTTTTGGAACACGATTGTTCTGTTTTGGAGAAGAATATTGAGAGAAATATCGCTATTTTATTCTAGAAGAAAACAACACACTTCGCAACTGCGGACCATTGTACGGAGTGCCGGAGTTAACCGCAATATTTTCGAAAGCCCTCTGCACAAAAGTCTAGTTTTCCAGAAGTCCATTATGAAAGTCAAAACCACAGCAGATTGCTATCACCACTGGAATCAGCATGTCTGAAAACCTCCAGGCTCTGAGATTCAGCCTGAAATCTTCATTTTAGTAGGTTGTATCCAAATTTTTCTTGTATTGGAAAGACGCTTTTTGAAACAGTTACTCTTGCACAAATGAGTTATGTGCACAAACACATTGTTTCTCAAAATACACACTCGATAGTATATAAGTTTGTCAAATGGAGAATGGAAAAAATTGTCAAAAATGGTATGGAATGGGGTGGATTGGCCCAGTCCGCTTTTCCCCCGTTGATACACTAGATACAAAACGCGATAAATTAAGATGTATAAGACAGAGAGAAGGTTGAACCGGGTTATCGGTCGATACATCTAGATACAACGGATTCATTTATAGATGTATCTAACTATGTATTTAGTAGCGATTTTAATCCGACTCACCGGGCAGCATATCGGGAAATGAATCTGATTGTGCACCGGCTCCAGATGAGACACCCGTTAAATCGCCTATGTATCGTACAACTTCGCGACAAAAACTTTCAAACGATCGCGAGATATATCGATCGCTTCTTCTACTTGCTACGTCCCATCGTCCGGGCTCAAGTTTGGGAAACATCGCCTTCATAGTGAAAAACCTGGAAATCGAGTCAAACCCGATTTATCTAGCTAACCTGGTATCTTTTACTCTTTTATCTCGATACTTTTGCTGGCGAATTGGGTGATACTCCAGCAGATGTATCTAGATTTTTTCTCTTACGTATTCATGGTTGGGTTATGCGGGATGAGAAAACAAATACTTTCCTTTCACTGTGTGCATCTCGAATTACTAGTTTTTTGCGCCATATTCGAATGTTTGAGAAAATACAAACGCTCCTATTTAGATGTCTTACCACTATTTTGTCTTATTCGATCGAATCAGTTTTTCTTCATTAAATTCAGCATAGCTATCTCGTGTTCAAGCAATAAGTTATTGCAATGTATACTTGACATTTCTATGGTAATTTCTGCCTAAAACGTTGTATCTGCTGTCCAAGAATTTCTCTGGCATCTTGTCTAGCTAACGGTCTTCATTTTTTACTCTTTTTTGAAAAGTTATTGCAACAAAGCTACAAACTCATTTGAATTCGCAATAGATGATGAAGTAGATTAAATATTTCTCTACCAAATGAAAGGCGTCTCGGCTCTGAACGTTGATTCGTTATGAAAATACACGTGTTGTACAAACAGTCCCCAAAATCGATTTTGGGACCATCTGAAAAGCGTGTCTAAAAGAGTGAAGACGAGCTGGTAAACATTGAACAAGTATACCAGTTTGTAGAAAATTGTTTGCTCTACAAGATGATCCTTTGTCAAGTTCGAAACTATTCTAATTAATCTGTATTAATCAAAGAAAACCCAGAAAAACGGTGAGGTTGGTGACTCAGAAAACCTTCGACTCAAGAATCTCTCGTTATGAAAATACACGTGTTGTACAAACAGTCCCCAAAATCGATTTTGGGACCATCTGAAAAGCGTTGTTAAGAGATCATCTAGGCCTCCAAAAGCCATTTCTTCATGGAGAAAAACTCATATTAATGAGAAGGCCTCAAAAATACGAAAATTTGGGTTTTCAAGCTGGTTTCAAGTATTAAAAAGTTCACTTTTCATTCAATAAACATCGGACCGAGTTCAGACCTTCGGGATGTAGTCGATTTTCTCCCCTAAACGTGATTCTTAGGTCGAAAAAATCGAAAAAAAGCACATTTGCGTTAATGGGTTTTCCAGAAACCCTTTGGGAAAATCTTAGGGTTTTGTAAACTGTTTTTAAGATCTCCTATAAGTAAGATATAGAATAGCTTAAATGCGCTATATGCTGAAGGTCTGAGCTCGTTCCGCTGTTTATTGAATGAAAAGGGAAGCAGCTTGAAAATCCAAATTTTCGTAAAACTCACTTTTCGGTAGATTTTTGGAACTTTTTCTAAAAGCAAATATGACCACAAGACTCAGCATGATCGATTACGTATAGTCCATCCGTTTTCAAGGCCACCAATAGTCACCGGGTACCAGTCCTGGGACTCGCAAGAAATCCGATACAACACCCGAACCGCGGAAAACCAAGGTCTCACTTGACTCTCATTTTGAAGAAGATATCCTGGGCTATTATAGCATGGAAGAAAATCAATACAGTCCTATTGAAAATTTTTACACACGACCTGGTTTTCTAAAGATCTCCTCGCTGTTTCTCTTAGGTTTTCAATAAAAGTCGTTTTTCTCAGCAAGGAAAACGAATTTTGAAAAAAACTTTACGTACTTTTAAAGCTGGCGTGTTGACCAATCTGATGGTGTGCGAATCATCGATATAGCCCTTCACCCAAAAAACTAGATCGATTTACAAAATGAGGTATACCCAGTGGATAGTCGTTGGTTCGGACGTCCATGACTGTTTACCTCTGAAATGAAATGAAAACCTTTTCTAAATCAGTTTTCAATGCTGATTCAGAAAAATATAGTTCGAACCTTCCATCTTGCCATACAAGCTCAAAAAGTCAGTTTCATCATACAGGACGGTTTGAGGCCTTGTTATAAACTTTATTCTATCAGAATACAAGTAGAAAATATTCCATTATAGTATTCTAAACTAAAACTATCGAAAAACACAAACTCAATTTTTGTACGAACAGAGATTCGAACATGTGAACTTAGCTTTGTAGTAAACTACAAAACTAAATTCACCGTTCTATATCTATATTTTGTACAACGATTGAAGTTGTGCATTTTTATTTTTAATTCAAATAGATATATTCTTATAGAGCAAAGTGTGCTGATCATGAATATCGCCGTCCGAATTTTAAAAAATATCATCTTCAGGGAGAAAGACCCGAAACACTGAGCTCGGATCAAAAACACGAAAAAACGCATCTTTTCAGAAAATGTGCTGTCACCATTTCAGATTGCATTTTAACTTTTTTTAACTGATATTTTCAGATTCTACATCGAAAAGTGCATGTAGAAAACTGTGTTTTAAAGTTTTTCAGCAGAAACTAAAAAACATATCAAAAGGTTCAACCGGCGGAACTTGAAGTTCGACCCATCGATCTCGCAAAAAGATCAAGTCCTTAGGGCTGTAAACTAGCGACCTGATTCTTTCGCCATAAGATTCGCCATGAAATTTAGAATAAAATTATATATGTACATTTTTGAATTTGTTCTTCAGCGTAGGGAAAATATAAACATTGAAAGACGGCGCGTTTTGCCCAAAATCGGCTAAGTGATTTTTCCTAAAACCTTGAATTTCCGTTAAAATCGCGTCGAAGTCATGGTCTTTACCTTAAAAACGATGACGAATCTGACGCAAGTCATTTCAAGGTTTTTCAGCTGGTCTTTGGAGTGTCTCTGGGAAACCTACAGCAAAACATCGCGGAATTCCACACACTACACTCAAATTTTCAGTTTTCAGTCATTCATTGATCTATCACATGTGTCTTTATATCAAAGTCTTTATTAAAAATAAAATGTACTTTACAACATAATAGCTCAACCGCCGGGCGCATTTGATGATTCACTATAGCAAGTGTATTGAGACAACGTATGTGCACCAGATTTGTTGTTTTGAAACGCACGAGAACATATCACGTTTTCTATCTTTGGGAATTTTCCCAGAAAATTCTCGCTCTCTATTTGAGAATTTTTCCAGGGAAAAATCCCTCTAGCACTCTCTCTGTTTTTACTATATAAACACCGAGCTTTACCATGCAAGAGTGTTAGTTGTATTCAAATCATTCTTAACACAAAATAAACTCTATTTTTGTAAGAAATAAATGTTTAATACAAGAGCCAATATATCATCAACGAACCCCACTTCATAACGTTTCAAAACAACAAATCTGGTGCTCATACGTTGTCTCGGTACACTTGCTATAGTGAATCATCAAATGCGCCCGGGGGTTGAGCTATTATGTTGTAAAGTAACTGGCATTTGTTTGTGTCTGTTGTAGACGTGCGCAAATATAGTGAACAGTCCTTTCCAAAAATGATAAATTTGATTAGTGAAGCGCGTCGCAATTTTGAAGAGAAAAAAATTGATCGTAAACTTCAACGACGATTTTGGCGTACGCTACATGCCTATGATCAGGATCAGAATTATAAGGAAGTGCTGTACATGTTCTTTACTTCTCTTGCCAAGGAAAATATCGTTTCGCATCGAAAAATTACAAATACAAATTTAAATTTGTATTTTTAGAACGCTTTTCTTTTTTTTGTGTAGATGAACAAAAGAGCAGATCTTTTCTATTTCGTGATACGCTTTTGTAAAATTTTATTTTTAATAAAGACTTTGATATAAAGACACTTGTGATAGATCAATGAATGACTGAAAACTGGACGGCGATATTCGTGATCAGCACACTTTGCTCATCAGAATATATCTATTTGAATTAAAAATAAAAATGCGTGGTAACTTTGAATTACGCGTGCCTTAGTAATTTTTTTTGGCATGTTTTTTGTGTTCTGTATTGATATAAGCTTTATTCTATCAGAATACAGAGGTCAGAATTTTGAGGTCTTCACATTAATATGAATTTTTCTCCATGAACAAATGGCTTTTGGGGGCTGGGAAGGTGTTATTCGTAATCAGCTCGTTAAGCTGAACCTGAATATGTATAATAATGGCAAAAAAACTTCACTTGAAGTTTGCATTACGTGCATCTTATCTAAAAAAAAACGATATGATCTTTTTACATTTTTTTCGTTGATTTTACGAGTGAACAGAGAATAAATAATAAGCTATAATACACGATCGAAGGCAGACTGCCAGAGTCTCTTGCCATTTTTCCTAGAAACGTTGTCTGTATATAATCTAAGTATGTAACATTGCAGAGAATATGTTTGTGTCTAATATAGATGAAATATTTGCCTGTCGAATAACAAAGAAGAACTAAATATAAAGCAAAATAACTTTTAAGAGAAACTTTTATTTGTGAGAATTTTCTTGTTCTTTGACTCTTTATTTTATTCTATTTTTCTTCATTTTATTTGTCGTCTTCAAGAAGATAATTTTGAAAAAAACCAGAATGTGCAAAAATTCTTGACGTTTCTATAGAATGACGAGAAGTGAAAACATTGAAAGAAAAGAATTTTTTGTCGAGCATAGGTGTAAATATAAAATTCTTTTTCATTCTGTTCTTGCTCGGCTATTTTCTAGGTCAGAGAATGCCTTTTTGAAAAAATTTATCATGTTACTGATCCAGTAAATCAATATAAAACACCATCGATATACGACGCCGGCAAGGTAAGAGAAATATAGACATTAATATTATAAATCGAGCGCATAAAATAAATTGGAATATGTTTCCTAGCAATATTGAACAACATGGAAAGTAATGATAAAAATGTACTACATTCGAACAGAAATAGACGAAATATTGAGGGAAACATGGGTGTTTGGCTTGATTCTCTGATAAATACTGCTGATGGTAATTTAAAGGCAAAAGAATTAATAAGACGTGCAGTTAACTACTTAAAAACATTCGATAATAGCGATGAATGTACTAATTACGTCATGAACACTAAAACAGAAAAAATATTTTTTATTATTTCTGGTACATTTAGCAAAATTATTGTACCTATTCTACATGATATTCAACAAATTCAATCGATCTATGTGTTTTGTTCAAAAAAAGAGAAATACGAACAGTTAATGAAAAATTATAAAAAAATACGTGGATTATACGATGATATTAATAATGTTTATTTAGCATTAAAAAATGATGTATATATGTCCGTTAACGATGATTTACTCATAAGTGTTTTGCCATCTACAGTTGTAGTAAATAATAAACAAGAAGCGTCATTTATGTATTTTCAATTGTTAACAGATATTTTAATTCAAATGGATGACATTCAGAAAAATGCTAAGAAGGATATGATTGATGAATGTCGAGAACAATATACGGGAAATAAACAAGAATTAACTGTCATTGATGACTTTGAAGAGAATTACTCATCGGACAAAGCTGTATGGTGGTATACACGTGACTGCTTTCTCTATCGAATATTGAATAAAGCTCTTAGAGTACAAGATGTTGATATTCTTTTTAAACTTCGTTTTTTTATCAAAGATTTACATCAACAACTTGAACAATTACGCTCACAAAACAATGAAACAGGTACTTTAACAGTGTATCGTGGACAAGCAATGGTCAAAGAAGAATTTAATAAATTACAAAATCATATTGGTGGTTTTCTATCGATGAATAACTTTCTATCAACGTCTACAGATCAACGTGTGTCTCTATCATTTGCTCAGCAATCATTGAAGCAATCGAATGTAGAATCTGTATTATTCGAAATGGACATTGATTTGTTAAAATGTACACGCCCATTTTACAACATAGCAGAATTGAGTTATTTTAAATCAGAAGCAGAGATTTTATTTTCAATGGGCACTGTATTTCGAATTAAATCTATTAAACAACAGGATGATCAAATATGGAATGTAAAATTGATTTCAAATGGTGATGAAGATAAAGAACTACAAATATTGAAAGATCATATGAGAAAAGACATTAGTGGTGGAAGTTCTTTAAGTATTTTGGGTGCGTTAATGTTGAAAACAGGACAATATGATAAAGCCGAACAATTTTATTTGATGATACTTGAACAGATTGACGAAAATGATCTTAATAGAGGAATATATTATAACAACCTCGGAGAAATTTATTTACAAAGAGACGCTTATGAAAAAGCACTTGTATATTATAAAAAGAGTTTGGAATTTAAATTAAAATATTTACCTCAATCTTATTCGTCACATGCATTAACTTATAATAGTATTGGCAGTGTATACAAATATCAAGGCGATTTAGACGAGGCACTAACTTATATGAACAAAAGTTTGACTATTTGTCAGAAAATTTTTTTACCAACTGATTATGCTTTAGCAATACCGTACAATAATATTGCTAGTGTGTATGATGATAAAAAAGATTATGCTTTTGCACTCGATTACTATTTGAAAGCACTTGATATATACAAAGTATCTCTTCCGTCAAATCATCCATTATTAGGTGTCATTTATAGTAATATTGGTACGGTCTTTCTCAACCAGAGTAACTATACGCAGGCATTAAAATATTATGAAATAACACTGAATAATCAGCTGAGTTCACTGCCACCAGAACATCCATCTCTCGAGATCACGTATAATAATATTGGATGTGTTTACTATGATCTAAACAATTATGAAGAAGCCATAAAAAACTTGACTATAGCCGTCGAAATTGCAAAAAAATCGAATCATCCTGATATGCACTCATATCAACAATTGATCGATGGAATTCGTAAGAAAATGTGACTACAGATATGTCAACTGGAGATTTAGACTTGTACGTTAAACTAGTTTTGAAGAATATCTGTATGTATTTCGACTTATGGACTCCCTTAAATAATTTTTAATTTTAGTTTAAATTATTCTACCTTCTGTATTTATGCACATAATGAAAAAAAACATTTTGACACAAAAACCATTTTGTGACAGCTGGTCTGCCATTGTAAAAGTACTAGGACAAGTTCTTAATATTAGTATTTGTACTACTCGAAATGCTCTTTCGTGTGGTATGCCCGACGGTAGTGTAAGCTCTGCTGAGGCACAGAAAAACAAGATCAACGTTGCTTTTTATTAGAGAGAAGGCCGAAACTTGATATCACTAAATAAGCATGTAGAATATGACTTTTTTAGTGAACAAGTGTACGATTCTGTGTAAGTTTCTATGCTCTACACGACAGGAGCGTTGAAATTTTCGAGACTATTAGGTCTGGCTATTGTGTAAAGTGACGGTTTCAAGTACTTGGTAAGTATTTGGAAAGGTTGGCAAGTATTTTCAAAATTTCTCACTTGCCATGTACTTTCAGAGGTACTTCTCAATGATAAAAATACCTGCTTTTACTGCTAAGAAGTACCTTGTGAAAGCCCTTTGAAAATATCGTTTTAGGTTTTTCAAGTAGTGAAGAATTTTCCAGTTTGAGCAAAAAATTATGCCCAGTGGTAGTGTGACCAAAAGTATTTGGTGGTACCCTAGACTAAAGGGAAGGGAACAACTAAATTTTTGTTTAAGTGGATTTCCAAATTAGCCGATAAACACTCAGCATCCCTTTTGTGAAAGATTGTTTGAGTTCTTTTTACTGTATAACTGAAAATAGCACTTTAGACTATAACAAAAACGATTTCTTTGTAAAAATCAACATTTTTGCTTTCTCTCGACTACTTAGTTTAGGTAACTCAGTACCAAGTACTATGCTAAGTGACGACTGATCAAAAAATACTGATATTGGCACTGTTAAATCATGTACATTCTCATACGAAGGCTCTCATAGGAAACGGGATCTAGTGGTGAGAAAGATGGTTGAATTTTGTTCGACGCTATGCCTCTAATTTCATGAGCTAGGCTGTGGTGATTACGTTACGTGCTGTTTGATATTAGTTATTACTTTCTGAAATACTATCTCTTATTTGTTACGAAAATATGCACCTGTTGTTTAAAAAGAAAAATTTTACTAATAGAATTTTATCTCTTTAATAATTAGTCACAGTATTCTTATTTGAGTGTAATATGGCGTCGGAGTCTAACTATGCTGATTTAGTTGAGCAATATAAACGTGATGGCTTTGTTATTATAAGAAATATCTTAGATACCAATTTAATTCATGAATGTCAACAGCATATTGAACATTTACAACGAAAATATCCGGATATACCGAGTGAACATTATCATCATATTATGATGAGAAATGATCCATTTTGGATACGTTTAGTTTCTGATAAACGATTATTGGATCTGGCAACAGTATTTGGTTCACCATTTATACAAGAAAAAGAAGGGGTTGCTTTATTTTCATCGCATTATTTTTGTAAGCCGCCAAAGACAGGAATGGCTGTACTATGGCATCAGGATGGTAATAATACCCAGACATGTTAAGCTTTGGAATATTGATTTTAATTTAATCAGGTTCATACTGGCCACTGAGACCGATGAACGTATTAACAATGTGGTTGGCTATTGATGACAGTGATACAGAAAATGGTTGTCTGAGAGTTATAAGAGGTAGCCACACTAATGAATTAGCACAATTAAAAGATGATGTATCAATCGTCAATGTGCTAGGCAGTTACACACACAGAGATGAAGATATTGATCAAAGTAAAATTGTGGATCTTGTTCTAAAGCCTGGAGGTATGGGAACAAATTTATATCATTTGTTTACAGAAGTCAGAGAAACAACCATTCGTAGCGCTTGTGGAACGCTTTTTTGTCTAATACATAAAAACTGTCCACTTGACTAAGTTTGTGGATGGATAGAATATATTCTGTAGGGAGGGGGGCAGGAAAGAGGCTTCATAGAAAAAAGTCCGCTGAAGATACAGCGCAATAACTTTTTCACAGGACAAAATTTTTTTGAAGCGAATATCGTTGTTTTTCTCGTATGATACAAAAACAGTTTTCTTTTGTGGACAAGACTATATAGCACTATAGGTCAAATAGAGTCAGAAGTATTTCTCTCAAATGGTATGTCATTAGATACAATACTGTAAGCGGATTACGAATAGGGCATTTATCTTTCAAAAATTTTATCAGTTCGAAAATTTGATTACTGCCCAAAGATCCGATTTTAAAGCCTAGAATTGTTATTCTTTAAGCGTTTTAAGAAATCCAAAAGACTTTGTGTTCGCTATCTAATCTTCAAATCTTTATGAAAATATAATATTTCTCTGAGATGGAAGGCCTAGGCTCTGAGTTGTCTTGTCATCGGTACACCGCACGAAGCGCGAAAGTGAGACTGAAAATATTGTAAAAGGTTTGATCAAACCAACGAGTCTGTTTTATTTCGAACTACTTGTTTTAAGGCATTCAGTTTTAGAGAAGTGAGAAAGTTAAGAAAGGAATATTTGAAGGTTAAAGATGGAATTTAGGCACCATTTCGTTAGCATAAGGTCGGAAGAACTGAAACTCGCAGAAAGTTTTAATGATTACTGTACATGATGAACAAAAGTTTTTTACGTTGTAAACTTTACAAAGTAAAAAATGTAGGCTGAATATATTACTGAGTAATATATTCAGCCTACATGGCTCTCGTAGCCCACTAAACGCTTTATTGTTTCCTCACAGACAGAAGACTTATATTGTATGCTTCTTTATCGTTTATCTAATTTATAACTAAAGATATAGTATAGTATTCATCATCCTAACATTATTCATGGTTCTAAAGCAAATACAAGTAACAGGAGAAGATGTGGATTAACAATAAGGTAAGAGCATTTATAAAAAGAAAAAAGCGAACAAAATCTTGATTGATGATGTCCGTTCCTTTATTCAGATATATTTCTCCAACAACCCAATGTTTAGACCCAAAACAGCCTGTAATGATGATGCGGGGTTCACCTATAGATGGTATTAATACATATCATAGTTGGCCAAAGTATCGTTCAGGTTATGATTTGCCATTTGATGGATGCGAAACGTGGAATGAGAAAAGAAAGATTGTTGATGAAGATGAAGAATATTTTCAAAGAATTGATTACAATGTAATGGAAAATGAAATTAAAACTGATTTATTTGAATTTATTTCTAAATTAGGTGGAAAGAAAGCTGCGAGTTGTTGTGAAGAAAGAATTCCGTTTGGTCACTCATTTTTCTTAAAATAAAACGAATGGTTTAATTTGTTCAAAATTCTACCAATTTCCGAATAATACTAACAAACTACCGAAACATGATGTAAGGAAACTTAGCAGCGGATTCGACTATTTCTTGCTGACATTCGCTCTCCAACCTGTGTTGAATTTCTAGTTGATTGTGTTAGATGCAGAATTAAATTCTCTATCGAACGGTACTATTTTTGATGGGGGTCATCGAGTAAAAACTAGCAGTTTTGGCCTGAAACACTGGGTTTTAAGCCCTTTCTGCCAGTATATCTTGCTGATATTCGCTCTCCAACCTGTGTTGAATTTCTCACAGTAACACTGAGTTTAATGCTTTGAAGTTTTTGTGCTGTAGTTAGTTGTCCTTTTGAGTGCATTGTGTAATAATATGACAATATTAGTTTTTGTGGTTTTATCATGCAAGAATATAATGCGTTGAATCATAAGTTGGATCATTTTGGGAAATTAATTCGTATTAGCACCACGTACATGCATGCGGAGTTTATTGAGATATGATTCAAAGTGTAGTCAGTTATTACAATGTAGTTAGCATTATTGAAAGTAGTTGATCAGTTTGCAAGTGGAAATCAATGAAGAAATTCAGATGAATAGATGAGCATAAGAAGCGTGTGCATGGAAAGTTAAATCGATAATTAATATTAAATACTATAAAAAGATAACCTATTGTTACCAGACGTTGAAGGATGAAACAGGCAATGTTCAAATGTTTCTTGCTCATTGAATATTGCTTAAAGCTGTAGAACGTAAAGAGCCTCTAAGCGGACAACATTGGTTCCTGCATCGATGACCGGAAACCGATCGTCAACTATGTATTGTGCTGGATAATCCAAAGGTTCAACTGGACCAAGACTTTCACCACAGAGAGCTGCACGATCAGTGCCGAATGCTGGTATGAAGTTTAGGTATTGTCCTTTGACTTTCCTGTATAATGTCAAAGATTTAATAAATTAGATTGAACTATCAAGTTAAAAGAACATTTCAGAACCGGATAGACATTATCGATAGTAAAAGATAGTCTGTGGAAAATGAAATAATAAGATAGTAAATTTCGTTGATAAGACGGTCTGATTTTTTTAAGAGACTATTGTTCTAGCAGTGAAGACTTAAGTTTTAAATAAACTCACCTTAGTGCGATGTCTACACTTGTACTCTCACGTATAGATTTTGGACAGACGCTACAGGAGCACTTGGATTTGATTGGAAAAGCTTGCATCGGTTGAATAAATCGAAAGATAATTTCATTCAAAGTGTTTTCAATATCGTATTGACCATTTGTAGTTTTCACTTTAAGAAGATTGTTTTGTGTAAGCCAATAGAGATGAGCAGTAGTCCATCCATCACTTTCGACGTGTTGAAACGTACGACGAAGTAGAATAAAAGCTTCAAGAGTATCGGTCTCGAATAGATCACGAAAGCGGTCAGTACCAACTTTGTAGGCATGATATAGGACGAATAGACCTGTGTCGAGTGGACAGGTGTGGAATACGGAGAAGCATTCACCGACATATATTACATCTTTTATTCCATATCGTGGCCATGTGAGGTTAAGATTGCCAATTTTTGTCGTAAGATCGTCTCTTGTGAGTGCAAAGTTTTGTTTGTCGATTGAATTTGGTGCTGAAGACTTGACTGTCTTCTGTCGGGATTTTTTTGGCGTTTGTGGCTTCGATAGAGATCGGCTGCTGTCCGATGCAGAATGTGGGCGCTTTGGAGAAAACGGTCGAGATAAGCTAGTACCGTTAATAAGAAAGACAGAGTCGTTAGCGTATCTTGAATTTCGTACATGTCGCCGAGCACTTCGTCGTTCAGCTCTTTTATCCTCCAGATCACTGGTACTCCCAGAAGTTACTAATGTTGACAAAATATTTTCACACGAATCTGAAGTTATAAGTGGCAATAGATTGAGACTAGTTGATGAAGAAGACGATGAAATAACTTTCGAATTACAAACACTCTGATCTTTTTTCACCAGCTTATTCGATGACATTACGGAAAATCCAAACGAGGTATCTGTAATAGAATTACTTGATGCATCTGACTGAATTTCACTAAAAGGTATTAAACATTGACATTAAACTTTTTATCATGAATAACAAAATTTTCAAAGACTAGCTGTTAAAAATTTCAAATAACTTCCGAGACTATAACAAGTTCTTCATCGTTATATATAATCGTGTGTGCTGTGTATAACAACACTTCGAAGTATATTTCGTATCAATTTATTTATCAATTAGATTTAGAATGAAAGATTCTTTATTCATTTATATAACTGTAGCCGTGCTATATATATAGGTTGCATTCTCTAGCATTCTCATTACAGGATCTGTTTCTCTTGACAAACTCTCGTATACATTAGGACTGGAATTTCTTTTTATTCCTGTTTAATCGTAGAATTTTTATAAATGTTCTTGGTAAGCATGGTCTTTTTCTGTAGGCGAAATTAAAACAAGAAAAATAATATTATTACTTAGTTTCATATAAATACATTATTTTTTTGTGGAATCTCTTCTTTTACCATTTTTTTTAAAATAGTAATTGACGAGCAGAACAGAGATACTTGGAAGAGCAGAATATGCGAATTAATGGACGGGAAAAAAATTCGGACTTTAAGAACAGAAATTCTTAAAGTCCGAATGCATGATGGGGGTAGAAATAAGGGTCTCAAATTTTATGTGTAGTTATATCGAGAGAATCAGTCAACAATGGGAAAGCTGCTCATGCTGTATGAGGATGTCTCTAATAGCGAACATGAGAAAAGCAATAGCAGAGGACCTTGCATATCATGACTGTAATATTGATGACCTACTATGTGAATAGTGTATGAATGAATCTAAACCTGAAAAGAATAAATATGTAAGTTATATCTTAGTATTGGACGTTGTCTCAGAGGAACAGCAGCATACTGGTTTAAGGTATGAGAGAGATGGTTTGTCTAAAGATTGTTCATAA